CAATATCCGTAAGTTTCTCCTTCTGGTAAATATGACCGCAAATATTTTAAATTGAATTACAGTCCTCTCTCTCTATAACGATATGCAAGGGACCGGGAATTTTCATCGTTATAAGGAGAGATCGTTATACAGAGAGAGACAAAATTCGGTACTGTAATATTAATAATACTGTACTAAATAACCTATTTAATTTAAAAAAATTATCAAAACGAATATAAATGACTTAACATTGTATTCCACATAGATTTATTAACGAATAATATAAGCAATACAGTATAAAAAATGACTGTGCAATTAAAACATGTGTACTGTACCTACAATAAAAAAATAAAATGCTACTGTAAAATATATTTAGCCTACATTATCAAAAAAATCTGTCACCTTGGTCTGTCTTCTTTTCCCTTTCCACAGAACTGACCTGACCATACATATCTATATCGTATAGCATACAGCACTCATCCTGGTGGATGAAAAATCGATGCAGTACTTTTGCCGCATCCAATGCCTGCTGAGGGGTCGGAGCTGGTTCTGACTCTGCTTCCACTTCAGAGTCACTGTTTTCTTCTTCTTCTACACGAACTGCTTGCAGGATGTCCTCGTCAGAAAGTCCAGATGTTGTAGCTACATTTTTATCAACTTCTTCAAAATCTGTTAGCTCTTCCGGTCCGTAGGTGATAGTAAATTCAAACTGTCTAGCCCAAACATCTAATGGCAGGTCATCTTCATCATAAGCCAATCCTTGATCTTCCAGCCATCCTGCGTGTTTGAAGGAATGTTGTATTGTATTACTCGTCACCTCGTCTTAGGATTTACTAATCATTAGGATGGTGTCAAGAATGTTTAGTTTAAGATCGCCATTATTCTCAACCAATTCCATCAAAAGTCTTCTCCTGTAATGGTTTTTTAAACTCTTGATGACACTTTGGTCCATGGGCTGAAGGATACTCGTTGTGTTTGCTGGCAGAAAACAGAGTTCGATGTTTTGAAGGTCGTGCAATACAGGATAAGCAGGACAATTGTCTACAAGCAAAAGAATTTTTTTCCCTTTAAGCTCGACATCCCACTTTCTTATCGCTTCTTCAAAAATTTCCGAGGTCATCCACGCACTCTTGTTTGCTTCATATGTCACCGGTAGATTTTTTATGTTTTTAAAGCAATGCGGGTTTTTCGACTTCCCTATCACTAACAATTTTCGCTTCACCGAACCTGTCATGTTAGCGGCTACTAAAACTGTAATGCGTTCCTTAGAGAGCTTTCCACCAACGCATTTAAATTTTAAAGTTCTGTTGGGTGTCATTTTAAAAAACAATCCAGTCTCATCCGAATTGAAAATGTCGTCTGACGCATATCGTGCCTACAGTCCAGGCCACACGTTTTCTAGCCAATGATCCGTTACGTTTTTGTTAACATCGCGAGCCTCTCCGCTGATCTTGTGCCGCATCTTTCACTTGCTCAGCCAACCCTCAGATGCCTTAAAATTCTCAATTCCAAGTTCAGTTGCAAAAAATTCAGCTTTTGTCCTGACCACAGGCCCAGAAAGTGGAATATGGTTCATACGCTGCTGCTGAAACCACTGTAGCATAGCGCGATCTAAATCTTCGTACTGAGGTTTCCGCTTCTTCCTGCTACCGCCCTCCATCTCCGCTTTAAGCCACTTTTTTCTGTCCTTCCATATCGTAGCCACAGTTGACTGAGACAGCCCCGTCCGGCGAACGACATCCGATTGCTTTCCACCTTTCTCTATTGCTCGAGTTATCGATAGTTTTTCCTCCACCGAGAGCACTTTACGCTTTTTTGAAAACATGTTGACTGTTGGCACACTAAGACGCAACTCAAACTGGAAATTAAAAGTCGTCAATAGATGACAACATCTGTGTGATAACAGTTAATTACGCCGCCCGAACAATAAACGTCACTTAACCCTCTGATAAGAAAGAGTGTATGCCGCATTCCTTAAACGCAAAACAAAACAACCGCTGAACAATGACCTTTTCATTCGTGACTCACGTAGTCTGAACTTTAAATACAATTACACATTTGTCATCAACAATTGAACGCTAAAAAAGTTATCGCTATAAAGAGAGAACGATATCGGTATAGAGAAAGAATTAATACATTGTTCTTATGACGAACCAACCAACGTTTACTATTTTCATCGTTATAGAGGAATTATCGTTATATAGGGAATCGTTATAGAGAGAGACTACTGTAATCGTAATTGTTTTTTGACAAAAATTGTATTTCGTTTATTTATTTTTTAAAATAAACTACTCTGCTCATGCTGTATATGCATGTTTTTGTATGCAAGTTTGCTTGAGAAAAAATGGTCGAAAGTTAGGGTTGCCAGCTGTTAAAAACGCGATGTATCAAAGACAAAATAAAAGATAGCTAACGCGCAACGCTACTGTTTTGAAGTGTCAGTTGTGTGAGTTTTTAAAGTGTCGGTCGATAGATATATAAACAATATACATATGATCACTTGTCAAAACAGTGTCGTTGCACCCTAACTATATTTTACTTTATCTTTGATACTTCGCGTTTTTAACAGCTAGCAACCCTAATTTTTCACCATTTTTTCTCAGGCAGCCTGATATCATCAGATTAAGATAAAAATTAGCCTTAATTTGATATAAAAAAAAACATGTATATACGTCATGAGCGGTGTATTTTATTTAAAAATAAATGAACGAAATTAAATATTTGTCAAAAAACAAATTACTATTAAATGAATTAAAAATATTTGCAGGTACTTTTTGTTTGGCAACCTATTGTCAATGTATTCTACATAATTTTAAATGTGTGAAAAAATGTGAGTTTGATGAACTACGTTATGAACATAGTGATCCTTCAGTAGGATTTTGTACTATGATTGCTCTACGGAATACAATTTTAATTAATGTAGAAGAGGGAATTGGAAGTGGAATAACATAAGTGAGACAAGTGTTATAAAAGGAATCTGTCCTAATATCCTCTATGTTTTTTTTAAACTAAGCACGCTATTTCAAGGAATATGCAAGGAAGTTTCAAGGTACAAATGTTTCCGGAACAAAGGTCTGCATGATGTACCAAACTTGACCTTGTATAAATATCTGAGTGCTCTCCTTTGTAGCATAAAAAGTCTACTGGAATGATGAAGAGAACAGCTACCCCAAAAGGCAGTACCATATCTGAAATAAGATTCAATCAAGGCCACAAACACTTTTTGCAATCTTGTAATCTAAGTGGTGTGCAACTGATTTGAGCAGCGTGATGATATGTTTTTGCTTAAATATACAGTGTGTTGCTCAAATTTAAGTGTATTATCAATATAGAGACCTTAAAATTTGTTTACAGTGTCAGAACAAATGCCTTCATTGTCTAGAGTAATATTGTTTAAATTATTCTTAAAAGAAATTAATTTGGTTTTTGAAAAATTAAGTGTCAAATGATTAGCTTTGCACCACTCTTAGATTTTTAGCAGATCAATACTAATAATCTCATTCAGTGTGCCCTAGAGTCCTTGTTTTGCCATAAAATTGTGGTGTCATCTGCAAATATAGCTAACCGGCCATTAATGTTGAGGTTAATTATGTCATTAAAATATATCAAGAGAAAGATAGGACCCAAGGCAGAGTCTTGAGGTAGGCTACAACTAATACAAATAAAACCTAGAGTAGCGCTCATTAATTGATACAGACTGGCATCTGTTTTCTAAGTTAGAACTAAACCACATTAGAGCAGTGCCTGTAAAATCATTCCCTTCCAAATTATTAAGAAGTATTTTGTGATTGAGATAGTCAAAGACATTCAATCAGATAGATCACAGAAAATCACAGCAGCAATATAATCTTTATTTACGTCCAAGTAAAGCTTTTCCATGAATTCGAAGATGGCATCATATGTACTTTTTACTGGAAACGGAATTGGAAGGAAGAAAGTAAATTGTGTTTTTGTAAGAAAGTGATCATTCGTATTTTTACCAATTTTTCTACAACCTTTGAAAGCGATAGTAACAAAGAGATGGAATGATAATTAGCAGGTAAATCGTGGTCACTACCTTTATACAGAGCAATGATTTTGGCAAATTTTAAACAATCACTAAAGTGACCTATGGAGTTAAAACTGATTTAAAGATCAAAAGGTGGCAGCACATTACCAAAAACTGAACAGAATGGCGACAAATCTTAGAGCAGCCAGGATCCATAGAAGATTGTCGAGCCAAAGATGATGATGATGATGACTAAAGTGACCTGTTGAAAAAGATGTGTTAATTGCCTCCGCTAAAACTCTTAGAACATTATCAGAATGCTCCCGGTATATCAAGAAATAATACACCCAGCATTACCCCTTTTTTCCGAAATGTTCTCCACCGTCTGTATGAGATGGATGTATCATACTTTCAAAAAATACACCATCCCTAATATGCCTATCGAGAAGGTTTTCTAGAGTCTTCAGTAGAAATGACATCAGACTTATCAGCTACAGTATTGCAGGTTTGCTTTTCTCTTCTCGGATGCCAAATCTCTCATGTCAGTTTTGAACCATAGCTTTGATATTTTTGTTGTCTTAAGGTTAAGTTTCCTGACTCCTATGTTTTCTTTTGCAGCTTGTATTAGTTTACATTGTATTTTTGCTCACAGTCTGTTGTTTAAATAACAGTCTTTGTGCGTTAGTTTTCTAAACATAAAATTTTGATAGCGAATTGGATCTTTGGGTTTAGAAATTTTATCAAATTAATGCAATTTATAAGTTTACCTTCCCTATGGCTCCAGATTTTAAAAGTAAATGTAAGTCTGCCCTGAGGCTCCAGAATTCTAATACAAATTTTGATGATGTGATGTCTGCCTCAGTTGTAGACGAAACTTAGGAATAAACATAAATTCCAAAATCACGGCCTATAAAAACCAAATATATCATTACAAAACACAGACTGCAAAAACCTTTACTTACTGACAAACTGAGAGTGTATGTTTTATATTTCAAATTATCAATGTAGGTATTAACTACTTATTTTCTTACAGAAATGCACTTGATTTATATGCCAACGTTGTCCATGTAAAATCTTTACCTGGGGTCAAATCAAGGCACAGCAATATTGACTGTGTTATTATAAGAGAGCAGACAGAAGGGGAATACTCTGCTCTGGAACATGAAGGTGTAAAGGGCGTAGTAGAATGTTTAAAGATTGTTACTGCTAAGAAATCTCAAAGAATTGCTAAATTTGCATTTGACTATGCTACTAAAAACAACAGGAAGAAGGTTACAGCTGTCCACAAAGCTAATATTATGAAACTGGGAGATGGGCTATTCTTAAGAAGTTGCGAGGAGGTAAGTTTATATTAGAAGCTACGAAATTGTGGCTTTATTAATCTTTATTCAAATGGGACTTTCTTTTTGCTTAATGTAAATAATTTTTGTAAGAAATCACAAAAAGTTTTCAATGTTGGTCCTATCTGTCTAAAAATTAAAATGGCAATTAAGTAACATCTGTATTATTCTCAATGTGCTCAGATAAGTATCATGTAACAATAAAACACTGAAAACTTTAATTTTCAAAACTTCCACAAAATTTATTATAATTTATTATCACTACACTTGTTTCGGCACAGTGCCTTTCTCCAGTGATGTATTTTTACTATGCGTTTACACTTTATAGTCTTTAGCTGAATAAGTTGAGGAGGGGAGAGGTGTTTATCTCAAGTTGTTCATTCAGAATTATATCTGTATTTTAAGTTTATTATTTTCCACAGATTCTAATATAGATAGTTTAAGGCCTTTATTTTGAATATGGAGGATTTAAAATTGGTCATTAAAAGAATGATTATGATCTAGAAGATGAAGTGTACATATAATCTGTTTTTCTGTTAATGAAAGCACTTTTGTGTTCTGCTATACGGTTGTTAAAGGTTCTACCGGTTTCACTGATGTAAGTTTTTGAGTAGTCTTCTCATGTAAGTTTGTATACACCACTGTTTAAATGCCTTTTCTTTTGGCTCTTCTCGTTCTTAATATATTTGCTTAAGTTGTTGCTGATGTTATTCCTTTCTTTTTTTGTGTTTGGCTATTTTTGTTGATATCTTGCCTGTATATGTAATTGAGCAGAAGGTACTGGGTTTTTTCTCTGATGGTGAGAAGACTAATCTTACTGATGGTCATTGAGTGTGAACATTTTTTCTAGATGTACGGCAAATCTTTCAGCCTTCTGTTTATCGGTTCTGTCCCAATTACCATTCTACATTTTTATGTAAGGGGAGTGACTAATTGATCTTTAAACTATTTTGTTACTTTTGCTAATAAGTAATCTATACTATTATAATCTTTTGGATGATTTAGATAGGTAGTAAAACTTAAATTCTTTTAATTTTGTATCTCTCATTTTAAATGTTAATTAGCGTTATTTAAGTTACCTAGTTTTGCTATTACATCTCTGATTTCTTTTGGATAATAGTTTCCCTTTCCATTATAGAACAAATAGTTCTACTTCATTATCGAGTCAGTTGACTTGGGTTTTTGATATTTTGTGATTAACGACCTTGATATGATCTTGTGTTGCGATTATGTATAATTTGTCTTTAGCAGTTTATTGATATTTAAAAAATAATAAAAAGGATGAATTTTTAAGTATATTGTAATCTTTATTAAAAAATGAAAACATTTAAATGAATGTTATAATAATTAGTGTAGTCCCTGAGACCTATTAATTGTGGTTGCCTCTTTGTCGTTCTCTCTACGTTTTTATTTATGGATTCAAAAAATTCACTAATTTTGGGGTCATCTATTTTTGTCTTTTGTGCATTTTATTCCCACGAGTTGGAACAAAATACTGCTATTCACGACCAACAGCGCTCTGGGATTCTGTTTAAATAATTTTGTTGGTTATGTTAAAAAAATTTAAATATTGAGAAAACACAGCCCCCTGCATCTATACCCGTAAGTGTTTAACCTCGATTACTTAATAGTTAAATAATATAGTGTCGACGTAGGTATTAAATAATACTTATATGAGCTTCGTTTATCTTTCTACTGTCTACTTGAAATATTTACCCGTTCTGCATTAAGTGTGTCCTGTCTCTGTATAATTAAGTCATATCACTCTTTGAAAGTCCAGTACTTTTAAAGATGGGCACGTGTAACTACCCTTTGTTCATTGCGATTCAGTAATTTTATCAGTCAGTCAGAATCTTTAAATAGATGGTGGAACATGTACATATTAGTACAGCTACTATTTCACGTACATAAATGTTCAGAAAATGACTCTTCTATTTTATAAGCTTTTCTTTATTAACTATGGACTCGGAAGGAGAAGTATATATGTAGGAAAAACAAACGATCCTGAGAACCAACCCGATTATGCATATTTCAGTAGATATATATTCTAGCGCGGCGCTTGTGTATCGCTTCCCTTTACGGGATTCATCTGTGTCTCTCTCTCTCTTTCTCTCTCTTCCTCTCTCGTTCTCTCACTCTCTTCCTATCTCGCTCTCATTCACTGTCTTCCTATCTCCTTCTCAAACCGTCCCATTATTTATTTTTTTTAAACTCAATAAACTTTTGTTCCATCATGCTTTTAAATGCCTATAAAAGGAGAAAAATAAGTTCCATCGTGTCTATAAAAGGAGAACAATAAGTTCGTTAGTGGAAAGGAATTGTAAATTATTCTGTACAATATGTTTGAAACAGTGTTTAGTTAAAAAAATATTATTTTGGCAATAGCTTATTACTTATAACTAACATATACATATGTTTCAGATGGCAAAATTATACCCAAAAATAGAATTCGAAAGAATGATTGTTGATAATTGTACCATGCAGATGGTATCCAATCCTCAACAATTTGACGTAATGGTTACTCCCAATCTCTATGGTAACATTGTTGATAATTTGGCTTCTGGACTAGTAGGAGGTGCGGGAGTAGTTGCTGGTGCTTCCTATTCTGCAAACTGCGTTGTCTTTGAACCGGTAAGAGAAGATTTTTAAATATATATATATATATATATATATATATATATATATATATATATATATATATATATAAGGAGAATTGTAAATTTCGATCACCTAGGTGTTATATCTAGCCTTATTCCCAGAATATCTGGACATATTAAGGGTTGGAACATGGGAATCGGAATCGATGAATATGTCTAACATTACAGCTTCAAAACAAGATTTTGAATGCTCTCTTAATCTAAATTTAGTTGTAAACGAGTGAGAGTCAACATAAAAAGAATTTGTTCAAATTATAAGAAGTCCCTCACTTATTATTCTGATGTATCAAAAATACATAAAAGATAAGACTATCGATAGCTCTGGGAAATGCTCCTACAATCTTCCAAGCAAAAGTAGTAGCAATAAATTCTTTTATTAAAGAATTAATAAATTCTTTTATTAAAGAATTTATCCCAATTCGCCCAAAATATTCGCGTACATGGCCAAACGAAATTTCTGGCTACAAAATTGCTAATAGTCTAGCTAATAAAGGAGTTAGTACTCCTTTTATATTCAGAAAAGCCTTATGGGAAAGAAAAGAGGGAATTGGTGGAGAAATCATAAACACCATGAGATTTGCAGATGACACGGTAATTATGGCTGAGAGTATAGAAGATCTACAAACTTTACTAGATGCAATAAATAGTGAATGCATTCAAATGGGACTTGACATCAACACAGATAAGACCAAATTTATGATAGTATCAAGGAGTCCAATAAATAATGAACAACTAACTCTTGCTGGACAGCAAATAGAGAGACTGACAAAATATAAATATCTGGGAGCTTACATCAACACAGAATTAGATCCAGACCAAGAGATCCGGGTACGAATAGAAATGGCAAGGGCAGCGTTCTTAAAATTCAAACAATTGTTCTGTGACAAAAATCTGAATATTGCGCTGAGACTGAGGTTTGTTGAATGTTACGTCTGGTCGCAATTATTGTACGGGGCAGAAACATGGACACTAAAAGCGCAAATAGTTAAAAAGATTGAAGCCTTTGAACTTTGGATATACCGGAGAATGTGAGAATCCCATGGACTGCCAGGGTCACCAATGAGGAAGTGCTGAGAAGAATGGGTCGAGTCAAAAAATTGTTGAAAACGATAAAAGTACGCAAGACTGCATACCTTGGACACATACTAAGAAATAATAAATATAGTCTTCTGCAGGTCATCATGCAGGGTAGAGTCGATGGCAAAAAGGGAATAGGTAGAAAGAGGAAGTCATGGCTGCGAAATATTCGAGACTGGACAAACATGACTGTAGACGAATTATTCCACGTTGCAAAAGACAGAGAAGCTTTTAAAAATGTGGTCGCCAACCTCGGTTAATGGGGACGGCATAGGAAGAAGAAGAAGACTCCTTTTATCGGGCCAGAACCATTCTGCGGTATGCTAGAAAGTCGATTAATGAGATATTCGAAAATGAAAAAAGAATCTTGTTGCAGCCTACCGGAAAAGTGTTGTAGGCCAAAGAAAAAGATTTTTACAACCTCTGCTTGTGTTATAAAAAGGCCTCAGGTGTTATTAACTATTGACTAACGACCTACGCTAACTTTGCGAAATGTTATTCTAATATCTATAACAATAATAATACTACAATAATCACTACAACGTATTTATATCCAATTAGTCATGATTTCCTAAGGTTACCGAAATATTTATTCTACTTCTGAGTTTAAGTTCATACTTGAGGTGCATAGATTTTATATTAAATATATACAAATCATAATTGTTTAAGTTATCTTATAAGACTTTTGCGTTTTATTATACTTAGGGATTAAAACCTTAGCACATGTTCGCTACGCATAAACACTCTTAGAACTTAAGAAATCTGAATTCAAAGTTTTATACTTTTTCTGCTCGTTACGCAAAATACTCTTAGAGCTTTAGAAATCTGAATTCATACTTATCACAGGCGTTCTCACTGGACACTGATCACTCAGTAATTTTTTTTTGTAAAATGGACAAAATGGATATATTCAACATGCACATTCGGAAACAATAATACCTGAAATGAATTTTTTTAGAACCTGATCAGGAAACGAAGGTATCGTCGAAAGGAAAATATGTTTTCTTAGAAGTCTGGATCTTTTGAACTAAAATATAGAGTTAGGTATACACACAAGAATTTACAAATGTTACTTAAAAAGGTCTTTAAAGCCAAGCAATCCCTTTGAAGTATACGTAGTTAAAAAACTAATTTTATTTAAACACTCAAATACAAAAAACTATTAACTCACTATATAAAAAACAAATTATGTCTCATTAATAGTATATCATTTTACAAGATAACCACTTCGCTAATCACTAAAACTAAACTTCAAACGCTGAAGCACCGCCTTAAATAATTAGATCGTAATTGCTAGATTTTGCGCGTCTACTACACTGAAAGTCGGGTCAGCTCTTTAAACCGAAATTCCAGTAAGATATCACGAATAAATCATTAATAGAACGCCAGAACAGTACCTAAATGGACCAGGTCAGTGGATGCGGTCCTTAATAAGGACACAGTCTCTCTAGGTGGATGACCTTCGGCTTACTTCGTGGTGTTAGTTGCACCCGGTAAGTCGTTTATCTTCTTAGTAACCAGGTGCGGTCCCTCCCAAAGCCGCTGAAACTTGGGACTTAGACCTTTCTTTCTGGTTGGTTGGTAGAGCCAAATTGCATCACCTTCCTTGAAGCTAATGGGAGTGGATTTATAATCGAACCTAACCTTCATCCGGTCACTGGCGATTTGTAGCTTATTCCTGACGAAATCGTAGACCTTAACCAGTCGATCTTTTAGGCCGCTGACATACTCGGGGAGTATATCTTGCTCCGCTTCTCTATCTGCAGAGTTCCATGTTGGAGATCTATGGGAAGCTTCATCTCTCGACCAGTCAATAATATTGCTGGAGTGTAACCAGTTGCTTCATGTTGGGAGGTTCGGTAAGTTAGCAGAAACAGAGGCAGCAGTTTGTCCAAGTCTCTCTGATTTTCATGTACAAACAGGGACGGGTAGTTGTTGATGGTCCGGTTATGTCTTTCTACGCTGCTTTCGGACAGGATGAAGCGGTGTCGTGCTGGTCTTCTTAATTCCCAGCAAAGCTATCATGGTCTTCCAAACTTCCGATTCAAGTTGCGCCCCTGATCAGAATGAAACAAAATTGGAACCCCATGTCGGGAAATATTTTCAAGCAGAGCCTCACCAACTGTGTTTGCCTTTTGGTTGGGTTGTGCAACTACTTCTGGCCATTTGCAAAATTAGTCCATAGCATAAAATACTTAAAGAAGTTTAAATCTTTGTAAGTAGGTATATTTACAAAACCCTTAGAAGGGCTACATCAAAATAACAAACGTTTTCGGAATCATAATTCCATCATCAGGTTAAGAGCAGGTTAACATGCCTAAGCCACCAAAATATTAGGTTAAAACCCTTTACAGTAATTAAAGTTACCAACAAATGTGCATATTGTTGTTAAAAAGGAATGCTGTTTAATATTTTATTAGATTTAACTTGAGGCAACATATAACCATGCCTCACGTGAGTACCAGCGTCCGGAGGGTAGATCTCTTCAAACGGACTTCAGCTGGTAACTTGATAAAATACTTGTTTCCTGATTTTGTTACTGGAAATGGTCCCAGAATGTCAACAGCAACTCGTTTCCATGGAGTCCCGGTGATATATTGTTGGGAGTTTTCCCCTTTGGGTCTCGTTTTGGTTCCCTTCTAGCATGCACACAGGGCACATCGTTTGCACCATTCTTCCACATCTTGCCGACAATTAACCCAATAATACCTCTCACGGACGCTGGCGAGAGTCCTATTTATCCCAAATTGCCCCCAGGAGCGGCTGTCATGGAGTTCTTCAAGTATGTCCTTAACACATGACTGAAAGAACAACTTGAGACACTGTTCTTGTTCCATCTGAACTCTCCCATTTAAGAGTGCTGACGTTATCTCGTAGACACAAGGAGTCCCACTGAAGCCCGTAGCCCTTCACTGTCCATATTTGGCAATCTCCTGCCACTGTGACCTAACTACGCTGTCCAGTCACTCACAGACTATCTTTAGATCTGGATCTTTTTTCTGCTCACGGTCTAGCTTTAGATCTGGATCTTTCATCGGCTTAAGAACTAGCTTTACATCTGGATCTTTTTTCTGCTCACGGACTAGCTTTACATCTGGATCTTTTTTCTGCTCAGCTTGAAAGATCAGATCGAAAATATCTACCAAAACAACATAATAGATGTAGAAGAAGAACTAACTGACCCTATTAAAGCTAGCAATGGAATAAAATATTGAGACTCCCTTAGTCCTCTCTTGTCCAACCTGATAATGGATGAAATAATAAAAAAGTAAGAACTAAAAAATACCAAATGGGAGAAAAACAACTTAAATTAATTTGCTATACAGACCATGCAATACTACTGTATCGGTACAAACGTTTGGTGTGGTTTATGATGGTCGGGCAAGAGTGAGAAGGCGATGCAATTAAGACTTGAACCACAAATTTAACAAAAAAACAGCACGTTTATCACACCGTGGGAGTTCTGGTATGAAGCTGTCAATGTGACAGCATGACGCTATATTCAGAACGTAATGGAGCCTCATATTAGTCCACACCTAAACACCAAATAAAATCCGATTTTTCAGTAAGACAATGCCAGCTCGCTCGTTGCCAGAGAATCGTTAGCCTTCGTGGATCAACCATTTACCTTGGCCATCACGATCGCCTGATCTGTCTTCAATTGAACAGGTCTGAGACATGATAGGTCGCAGGCTTTTGAATATGCAACATCCTCCATATACCTTAGCAGGTCTTACTCACGAAGTTCAATAGCTTGGAATGAAATACCTTAACAGGATATCGACCACATAATCAGAACGATGCCAAGGTGTGTCAATGAGTGTATAAGAAATCATAGACCCTCAACACATTATTGAACCAGCGTCTGCAGTAAGTTGAACAATAAAGCTGAAAATTTAATCATTTTACTAGAGACGCTGACAAATTTATTAAAATCAGATAAATATATGGTGGTGTTTATCTTTTTTTCTCATTCAGTATATTTATGTACCGAGTTATATTTTGACTTATTCATTCGACTTACATTGTTATTATCGTCGTTGCACAAATTCAGTATATATTATTTAAAGTTTACCTTTATTTTTTTAGGGTGCGCGTCACACCTATTCTGAAGCTGTGGGCAAAAACGTTGCAAATCCAACAGCCATGTTACTATGCGCATCTAAAATGCTTAGGCACGTAAATCTTCCACTCTACGGCGAAATGATTCGCAATGCCATCGAGAAAGTTCTGAGAGACGGTAAGATCAAGACAAAAGATGTCGGGGGACAATCTACTACTCAGCAGTTTACCTACGCAGTTATTAGCAATCTGGAAATACCAAAAACTGCTTAGAAGATTCATTGAAATTTTGTGGCGAAATTTAATCATTGTAGATAATAACAAGGCAGATTTTTTATAATAGTTTGAGGAAGGTCATTTTTGCTGTAGTTTATGTATTATCTAGAGAGAATGAGCGATTTTATGACAGAACAGCTCATCAACATCATTTTTTTGATCGAATGTTTTTGGATTGTTAGAGGAATTAGTTATTATTTTAATATTAGGATACGGAAGTGTTCTTCAGACACTATAATAATAGAAAGAAAGAAGCGGATCAAAAATTTAATGTTTTTAGAAGCATATTTATGTATCAAATTGTTTATGAAGTCAGTCTTATAATAATGCTTCAGAGCCGTCTTGTTAACTATGAAAGGAAGAGCTAGGAAATTAGTGAATTGACGGATTTAAACTTTTTTAATAGATCACCAATTTATAAGAAATTAATACAGTTATAAATCCAGTGATATTCTAATTATCCTGGATAATGTAGAGAACTATTGAAGATAGTATAAAAATGTACTACCTCGTTATTTATTGATATTTAAATTTTGTAATATATAATACAATGGTTAATAAAAAAAGGTTGCTTAGTTTTATCTGTTATGATTAAATAACGGTCTAGTCGCGATTTTAAATACTTGTAGATGAATTCGAGATAAGTATTATTTATTTTACAATATGTACATTTGTTGTGAGATTTTAAATTATTAAAGTTAAGTTAACAATATATTTAGTTTTTATTTTTTATTGGAAATAATTAATCTTCTTGAGATTCTAGAGATTAGCCTAGAAACATAACCTCTGCGTTTTCGACTTTTCAAAGAATTTTGATTAAATAGATGGTTGTGTTTACCGAAAGTACAAGCTGAATATAGCCGCAAATGTCAAAAATATTTGGGTTTGGCAGTGTTGGGATGTTTTTATAATGCATGTTGTATCCTTCAAATATACAGAAAGAAAGCTTTTAAAAAGTAGATTTTGATTATACTATTTTATGAACTCTGCAATTTTTAATTTATATGAAGCAATAACGAGTAAATATTTGCCTATTTCGAGATTAATTGCAAACATTAAATTACCATTACTTTCAGAAACAAATTTCTGTAATTATTCACCAGAAGACATGCACCTATATTTTCTTAACAGGTTTCAGAGCATTTTAACTTCATCGGTTAATGGTAGAATCAAAGACACACTCTGAGAGGGACAGGCAGGATTTTTAGGTAAGTTTCCTATTTAACAGAGTCAAGCTACGTAGCCTCATCTACAGGATTACATAAAATAGACACTGCTGTTTGTCTTAACTTTCAAGGGCTGTCTTTGTCCTATCCATTCTAGAAGAGCTCCACTAGTGTTTATGTCACTTAAGGTTTATTAATTTAGAAATTGTATTCACAAAAGGAAACTAATCTTTATTTTTGACTACAAAAGGTCAAGATTAAAATTACACATGTAAACGGCGAACGATCTGGAAGCCTCTGTCTTTTCACTGCATTGGTAAGCGAGGTGTATCCCAAAAGTCTGCCAAGTAAATCCATCGGACGTATTGTTTATGATTTATGTGAAGACTTGATTAAAAAATGGTGGATTCGTGAATGTCGCATTGAAGGAGTTAATCCTGTTATAATTTACCATCTGAAGGATAGCGATGGCAGTGATTAAGACCGTGAATCTGATGGTTGATAATAGTTTTAGAAGAATAAGAGAATTCGTAATTTTGTTTTTATACTACTAATTGAATATTCTACTAAATAAATGTACACAATTTCACCACTAACTAAAAATTGGGAGGATTTACTATAGCACAATTCAGCACATTGGACCATTTAAATTCATACTTTCATTCCGAATTAAAAAAATTCGAATATTTATGGAATAGACTATAGTTCTGATACAGTAATTTTTAGGGAACTTAGAGCATATTTTTGACGATTTATTTGAAAGTAATATCAATTGTATTTCACTTGATAATTTTAATTTGGATTTTTAAATACCGTAAAATGGGGTAAATATGAACGGTTTCCAACTAAAAAAAGATACTAATCCATGTTGCAAACATAAAACTTATGCTTTGTTATTTGGGTCTTACCTTCCTCTTTTGATATTTAGGTGTTAAAAAATTAGAAATTTAATACTCTAATCACAAAAAATCAAAACATGGTGTTCCTATTCACCCCACCAGTTATTATTCATACATTTGTAGGGTCAATAGAAACTGGTAAAAAGCGTATAATGTGTAAAGTAACATACACATATAAATATAAGGTTTGTTTTATTGGAAAAATTTATTGTTGAAATGAAAAATACACTTTTAAAGTCGGCAAATATAAACACAAATCACTAAGATCATTGTTAAAGCAAATCATGTTTTTAAACCGAGACGAGTTTTCACATTTGTCTTATCATGTTATCGGGTTTAACAAATGCTTCCTCTTCAGTATCGGAAAATTTTTAAGCATGAGGAACCTTCTTAAAAAAGATTCCTACGTAGCCGCCATCTTGATGATAGAAAAATTTAGTAACGTAGTGCCTGAAAGATTGCTTGCTCTTGTCATACACTTTGGACACTAAGAAGTCTCCAGAGTTAACGCAAGTGTTCGTTTCTTCATCAGTTGACAACACTAGCTCCTTGTCACTGTCTTGGTGAGAGTTTTCTGAAGCACTAGATTCTCGTTTTAGCCTTTTAGTGCAACTGGAAATTTCTTTTGAGGAATTCAGTTCTATGTTCTTAACTCCTGATGGTTGTGCTTCAGGTTCAAACTCTTCTTCCAAATCTGTCGACACAACACTTTTTTCCCGATTAGACATTCATTTTTTTTTCTTGTACTTTTGTCTCTGAGTATCAGACTGTCTTCAAAAGTTCTTTAAAAGTGTCATCAATCCCTTCCACACGAACAGAACTTGATAAGGGCGTTTGTGTTCCAGATTGTCTGGTATTATCATGGTCTGAGTTCGGCAGCATCCTTAGGCTTCCATTCTGCGACTGCGATCCAAAGACACGATGCCACCTTTTTTAAACCCTGATTTGGCATTTTGACATGACAAATCATCAAAAACTAATGACGAAACTTGTCTTTAGCTACTGTGGATTCATTGCTGCCTGGTCCCGTTTTCCATTCCTCAACTATTTTGCGACCATAATTTTATATTGGCTGAGTAAGGTGAGGGGAATTAGTTGGTAAAAATATAAACTTGATGTTTTTTTCTTGGTATAATTGGATTAAATCGATTGACAAGTGAGACGACAAGTTGTCCCCAATCCCAGTCAGTGACACAAAAACTATCAAACCAATCTGACTTGGTACTATTAAAACGAGGGTTTTTCGGACCTCCCTCCTTCCAACTGTCGTATAAATGTTGAGCCTTATGTACAACATAACGTGGTAATATTTTACTCTCTCCACTAGCAGAGTAAAAAATGTAAAAATCATTTTATATTTTTTGGGTCATCACTTAGATTTGCCTTATCGTAGTAAATAAAGTGACTTACGGAAACGTCTTTAAGTTCTCTTTCTAAATCGTCGAAACACGTATTAATTATCTCAGGGGACATAGCTGCCCTCGACCTTTTGACGTTCTGACACGTTCTGTTTGAGAATGATTGTGCTGAGTAAGAAACGAATACACCCAATCCCGACCAGGGGTGTTGTTCTTGAACTTGGAAATAATTTAGCCCTGGCGCTCTAAATATTCTCGTAACATTAACCGTAAGGTGAGAGAATCTATTGGGTATCCCCAGTCAGCACAAACTGCTAGTCTGTCAACGAGACAGACTAGCAGTTTGAACACTTGAACTAACTCTTCATCAAGAGAGGTCTGACCTCCCTTTTGCTTTGTATTAACATTTTTTATATATCTGTGTAAGACCGTAGTAGGTATATTATATTTAAGGGAACACACCTTCTTTTATTTCATTTAGGGCTTCTTCTAGGTTTTATCGTCTGTAGCATCTTTTCTTCACAATTTTCGCGGCATATCTGAACCTGTAATAAAACACTCATTACAATAAAAAAGTAAATTGAGCAGCCACTGACAAAAACAAATCTTACTTTATAGAGGTATTAGATAAAAGTAATTTCTAATGTGTGGGGTGAATGGGAACACGGTAAATATTATGTCCCTATTCACCCCACATATCTCAAATTCATGACGTGAATAATATAACTTGTTAACAAAAAACGTTAACAAATAAATCAAAATACAATAATGTTAGATTGTTGAAAAGGTTAGAATACATAAAAAATAGTACACGTAACTCTATTTTTACAGAGATTTTGTACTTACTGAGGTTTTTATGATGAGAAATAACCTTCAAATTAATGACTTTATTTGCACGCCGAAAACCATATAAGAACCAGTGACGCCAACAACACAAACCTAAATTTCCCAAAGCCAACCTGCAAAACTTAAATAGCCAAACGAAAATAATATATATGTTTGGGAAGATTATTGTTATTATTTAGTGAAGATTTGTTCCTATTCACCCCATTTTACGGTACTAGTACTATCTTAATCTACACCCAGAAAAGTAAAGCAATGTTTTTACAATGTAGCATTAAGCAATTAGTAACTGAACCGCAGAATAATAAATCATCAGAATGCCCACTTTGCTTGTCAAGATAATTACGCGCATCGCGTTCGCGCAGACGGAATCAACCATGTTTTAAACGGAGCCAGTGCTGTTCAGTGAAATTTTATCTGATGTGCATTGGAAAATTAACCCGGTTTAATTTATTTATGGCAATCATAGACATAATCTGCACTATTTTATTCGTACTTTTATTTGAAGAATAGATTCTTCTTCTTTGAGGGCCTCTCCTATCGGAGATCGGATATCAATATGGCGATTCTAATTTTATTAACTGCTGTTTTGAATAATTCGTTAGTGGTACAGCTAAACCACTCTCCTAAATTTCTCATCCAGGACATTCTTCTACGGCCTGGACTTCTGCGCCCTTGGATTTTTTCCTTGCATTATATTTTGTAGGAACGTGTACTTTTGTTCTCTCATCAGGTGGCCTAAGTATTCAAGTTTCTCTATTTTATATTCATAATAACTTCTGGATCGTTATTTATTCTGCGTATTACCTCTTCATTTGTAATTTTATCCAACCAACTTAATTTTAGTATACGACTGTAGCACCACATCTCAAAGCTTTCAAGATTTTTAATATTCCTCTGTTTTTATTTTTATTTTATTCCTCTGTTATGAATATATGAATATATTACACTATTTCAAATTTACTAAATTATTAATCTCTAAAATTTTAAATTACTTCTGTCGTAGCTTGTCAAAAATTTGTCAATCCGAGTCTATGTTTCCGTTTAAAATATGGCGATCGCGTGCTGACACACTTCATAGGCGGCATCTGTGAGTGGACATTCTGATTGTTATTTATTCTGTGACTGAACCTACTAGAATTACTAATGTTACTGAAACCTTAACTGATTATGTTTTTGTTAATAATAATCTGGTTAGTTGTTTTGTTCATTTAACTCCCTTGAGTGATCATTCAATAATATCGGCCAGTTTTAGTAAGTTTTCAAAATGTTATTGTCTCTAGTAAACGTTACAGATATTTTAACGAAGAAAAGATATATCAAATCTAAATTAATTTACTTTTACGTGATTGGGATTTAGATTCTACAGATGTCAATACTATTTACAATGAAATTTTATTATACAGTCAGTGTGTCATAAATAATAAAATAGCACCTAT